AAAAGGAGAAAAAAAAAAAAAAAAAACTCAAAAAAAAAAAAGAAAAAGAAACCCGCTTTTTCCCCCACACAGAGGTGCACTTCAAGCCAGAAGCAAGCCAGGTGTATGTCTTGTGGGTGCCGCCCTGCCAAGGGCCAAGCCCTGTCCCTTTCACTCCAAATCCTGTTACAGAAGCTCTGGGTGAGCGGGGCGGGGGGAGAAGGCACGAGGTGCCCACAGGCCCACCTGGTGTCGGGAGTCTGGCTGCTCATGCAGCTCCCAGCTCCAGGCCCTGTGGCTCTGCCCACCACACCCCCAGGGCTGTGCTCCAATGACTGTTCTGCCCACGCCGGACCCAGGGCCTTGGGTCCATGCCTCATGCTGAGACACAGTCAAGTACAGAGCTGGGCATGGCCCTTCCAAAGGGCTGTGTCGGGGGAGCCCGAGGGAGCAGCCACAGACCTAAAACTGACAGCTGCTGGATGCTGAGCCCTCCCTCCTGAGGTCGTTTCTGGGTCACGGTCACTGTGAACTGTGTAAGGGCCTTTGGGACCAAGACCAGATGCCGTGTTTATGTGTACCATTAAACAGTCACTTGGCCGTGCAGGTCCTTGTTGAGCAGTCCCACCCCCACACAGGGAGGATCTCCCAGCAGCCAGGTGGCTGGCAGGAGATACAAAACTGGGGACAGTTTTCAAGGTGACACTTGTCCATAAAGCAGCACCAGTCCAGGCCAGCTGGGGCTTTCACAGTACAGGGGTTCACCCCTTTTATTTCCGTCTGAAAATGCCTGCAAAAGAGGAACCCTAGGCACTCCCTTGCTGCAGGCTGCTGTGACCACCATGCTAAGGACACCAGGACCCCATCACTAAGCAAGACCTGGCACGTGAACACTCCCACAGTGGCACCGTCCCACAGACCGGGGGCAAGTTAGCCCAGCCAGGAGTGCAGGCACCCACAGTACCATCAGCCTGGCTCCTCTCTGTCCCCTAAGCAGAGACCACCCTCCAGTCCTCAGCAGCCAGGCCTCTGTTGGCAAGCCAGGCTGGGGACTCAGGGAACCGCGGTTTCTGGAGTAGGGAGCCCATGGGCTGTGCTGCTCCAGCCTCAACCGTCCATTCCGGCCTCCGCAGAGCAGGCCAGGCTCCTGTCACTGCCTTACCAGCTGCACCCCTCTGTGCTGGGCCTGCTCTGCCCACTGAAAGAGTCTGTCCAGGTAGCGGCAGCAGACAGGTGTATTTAATGGCCTCTGGACATTTCCAGACTCAGCATGGAGCCCAGGTCCGGCCCAGCCACCAGCTGCCCACCCAGCTCTGTCCGCTCCTCCTGCCGGCCACTCATCTCAGGGCAAAACTGTAGACGTGGTAGATCTCGTCGGGGAGGTTCTCCTGCCTCTCCTCGGCCAGGAGGCTGAGGCCTGCGCTGTGGATGATCCTGCGGACCACCTCAAGATCCCGGCACACGCTGCTGTCCACGTCGTCCAGGATCACGCCCTCCTGGGCCATGTTGTCTTTAATGACGATGATGCCGTTGGGGCGGAGGCCCTGCTTGCAGCGCCGCAGGAATTCAGCCAGGTGCTGGTCCGTCAGGTGGCCTATGGAGGTAGAGTTTGGTTACCAGAGGAACGGCAGAGCGTGTGCGGGCCCCGGGGAGAGGGCTTCGGCTACTGCTCGCTGGACGCTGCTTTGTGCCCAGCACTTTGTGCCTCACAGAGGCCTCTCTGGCACTCTCAAGAGTCCTTAGAGGTTTACTAAACCCTGTGTCATGTAAGTCTGCCCACCGCCCCGTCCTGCCAGGTTGGGAGTGTACCTGCCGGAGGCTTCAGCACTGCCTGCATTTCTAGGTGTCCTCCTTACCTTCAATGTCAGAGGCTTCTTGGGATGACAGTTACAAAGCCAGACCACGAGACCAGACAGACCTGCAGCTTGCCCCAGAAAACCTGACCGACCACTGGTCCAGTGGCCGGCTACGGGATCAGTTTGGGGCATGGCGCTATAGGCATGCTGTCTGGCCAGGTGGGCAGGAAGGCCTCTCAAGGCAGGGATCGCTCACACTGTTACTGGTCATTTCAGATGTTTCAGCCCAAATCTGCCCACACCGCAGGTATTCAACTGGGAGAAAAACTAGGAAGAGCGACCTGCCTTCTGGGGAGGCTCCTCACCAGTCCTGAGAAATGTGGGGCCAGGGACCCCCAGGGTTCTCCTGTGTCAGGGGCATTGCCCCGGCTCCAACTCGCGGGGTGGAGGGCAGCGGCCTCACCTATCACCCACTGGATCCAGATGACGTCATAGGAGTCCGGCTCCGGGCTGAAGTCCTGGAGAGCACAGCAGTAGTAGTTCCTCACCCTCTTGCCCTCCTCCCCCAGGTAGGTCTTGGCTTTTAGCAGAAAGTCCTCCGTCATGTCGACCATGTCTACCACTCTGAACAGCGGCAAGAGTAGCCGCTTGGTGATCCTTCCGATGCCGGCTCCACAGTCCAGGGCACAGGACGTTCCTGTCTTGTTCGGGCCTTCCTGAAAGGCAGAGAAGGCACGTGAGCCATCAGAGGGGCCCACCACTGCAGAGGAGCCCTCCCTCCAACCCCTGGAGTCAGATTCGGCTCAGGACACCACACAAGCTGCAGCCAGCTGGGGGGGAGGGGAGGTGGACACCAGTGTGGGACACTTCCAGGGTCACACATTCTTTTCTTTCGTTTTAGGTTTGTGCAGGGGCATCTGCACTCACTGGAGAGAGTGAAAGGGATAGTGAGAAGTCACCCTCCTGGGTGGATGGCCACACTGCAATCCCTTTTCGTCTTTTCTCCTCCTGAGATTTTGGGCACACACGCACAGGCGCATGGAGTGATTTTTAAGTTGCCAGGTCTAGGACTCAAACTGTGGTCGGCCACGTGGGAATCCGGCGCCTTAACCACCAAGCCACCTGCTGGTCCCTGGGCCACACAGTTCTAAAACAAAAGCCAATTTTCACCAAAGGCATTAACCCAAACAGGTGTGTTACTCTTACTCCCATGGCCCCAAGAAAATGACAGCACAGAATTCAGCGAGGCACCTGGGGAACAAAGCTGGGGTGTGAAGGCGTGGGAGAGGAAGATTCTGGACAGAGCAGGGAGCGGCAGCCCCAGGGCTGGCTGAGGTAGAAGCAGAAAGGAGCGTGGGGTGGGAGGCTGTGCCACAGGGCAGCCTGGTACTGAGGGAGGCGGCAGTGGGGAGAACGGCTGACACAGCGAGCAGTAGGAGTCTGTGTCGGGAGAAGCGCCCATACCCACAGCCTAGACGCTCCCAAGCACAGCCCGAGAACAGGTTCTGTCCTAGCAAAACTGGACCATTTCAGAGAGGACGCTCAATTCTGGCCCGGTGTGACAGCCCCCCGCTAACTAGCTCATGGAAAGCTTCAGTCCAGAAGCTGTACCCCTCGCCCTCCCAGCCCTGCTCCTCGAGACCGCAGTGCTGCGTGCGGACAGTGGCAGCCCATGCTGCGCAGGCACTGCCATGAGCCACAGCCCTCCTCCTGGAGAGCACACCAGACCTCCTACCCTCAGAAACCTCTGCAGGAACTTCCGGGAGCTGCTGATGTCGATGCTGGAGATGTGGCCATACCCCCCGAGCATGCCGTCCACCGTGGGCGGGATCTGCTTCCAGTACGTCTTGGCCTTGGAGTAGAACTGCTTCTCGTCCTCGATCACCTCGCTCGTCATGCTGTCACCGCACCGCCTGCTCGGGCACTCTCAGCCGCTGCAGCCCTAAGGAGGGGAAGTGGGGAGTCAGCCCAGCCAGGGCCGGCCGCAAGACCCTGGAGGGCAAGAAACACTGGCAGGAGGCAGGGACAGGGGCAGAAAGTGCCTGAGGGTAGATGGTGGAGTGCCAGGTGTGGACCCACATGGGAAGGCCCTGGGTGGGCATCCTGGGGCTTCCCTGATGTGCTCACATGACCGAGGTCTGAGCTGCTGTACGCAGACCTGCTGGGGTGCCCATCTCTCCCTGTGGCAGAAATATACTTTCAAACAGCTGCAAAGCCGAAAGAGGGAGAGGATGTTGGAAGAGGTGAGCCTGAAAGGAGTCTAGGCTTGGAGAACAGCAGACTCCACGTCCGTGCGAGCGCCCTGGGCTAGCCTGTCAGTCAGGGACGCGGATCAAACTTTCTGAGCGCAGGGCTGTGCCCAGCCCTAGCTGAAAGGGGGCAGTGGTGCTGAGGCCCGGTCAGCAGCTGGGAGGCGCAGGCTCCCTGACACACGCGGAGACACCTGCCGGCCCTGGGCCATCCCTGCTGACGCCGTAAGCCAGGTGCCACCGTCACCCATGGGCACCCAAACCAGCTTGCACTGCGCTGTTCAGGAACTTTCTGAAGCCCCCTCACCTCTACCCCAAATCCCGCTGTGTACTGTCTTTCAGCCTCACTGCGGCTTCCCCCAGAGGGTGTGAGAGCAGAGGCCTCTGCTCTGGGAGGGGTGTCCTTCCCGGCACCCCTTCTCCTCGGGCTGCAGTCAAGTCACCGACCTGGGGGCTATGGGGCCAACACAGCCTGCGTGTGGGGCTCTGGTTTAGGCGTCCAATAATGAATATAAAACCCCTAAGACCGAGGCATGCTTTAGGCTTCCGAGGAAGTAGTGAGAGAGAGAACAAAAAAGTGCAGAAGGCCTCCGGGACGTAATTCAGGGGTAGAGGAGGAGGATGGAGGGGACAGAGCTCGAGAAGAGCTGAAGCGAGTCCCCGCTCACGCTGGTTACAGCTCACAGGCACAACTGTACCCTGGACTTTTGCAGAACCGCTCCGGAAGCTCCTGACGACGCAGTTCTGCTTCTGCCACTGATCAGCCTTCGGCAGAGGAGGTCGCCAGTGGGTGAGGCACGAACAGCGTGGCCCAGCCCGCCCGGCTGCTGAGAGCAGAGCCCTGCTTCTCACGCCCAGACCCAGACCGTGCTCCTCTAGCACACGCAGGCCCCGCGAAGACGCAGCTGGGCCTGGGGACGGCTCACACGCTGGCCTGCTGAGGGTCGGAAGAGAGCGCCCTCCCAGGGTCCAGTTGTCCTTAGGGCTGTGCTTTGTTTTGGCCTGCTCAAACCCCTCTTCGGACTCCTGTCTCCACTCCCAGACTGTTCCCCTCACCTCACTGCTCAGGGACAGGGTTTGGGGCCATGAGGATGACAAGTTGCACATCACTGCACCCATTACGGAGCTAGCTGGGCTAACAGGTGAGGGACCTCAGTTCTAAGTACTGCACCCCACTGGCTCACCCCAGTGCCCACACTGGGCCCCAGCACCGGGAGCTGCCCTCTGGAGAGACATGGCAGCTCACTGCTGGAATGAACTCACTCCCACCCTGCAGTCCGGGGCAAGCAGAGTGGAGACTTGCCGTCCCCCAGGACTGCAGCTTCCTGTGTGGGGTGGATGGCACTGGAGCTCCTGCGGGTCCACAGAAAGTGGCCACCAGTGGAATGTGACCACACACCTGCGTTTGGGGATGGCTTATGTGGTTGGGTCTGATGGATTCAGGCCAAGGGGCTGCCCTGCCCCTGTCAACAGGCACCACAGCCCATCCTCCATCACCCAGACAGGATGGCATTCAAACCAAGTCCTCGTGCCAGGCCAGAACACCCATTCAACCCAGGCTCACTGAGCTTGGCCCTCAGCCCTCCCACTAGATCGGGAGCTCCTGGAGAGCAAACACAATAGCCGGGACGCATCACCGTGTCCTGCCTGCATCCACACAGCTTAGGCACTCGGCTTCACTGCTGATCCCACGACTGGATACCACCAGGCTGTGCCTGCCCTGCCAGCCTCCGTGTCTAGGATGTGGGGACATCACCTTGAACGCCACTAGCCCTGGGCTGACACAAGGTGTGCCTTTACTCATTGGCTGTCAGAGGAACCAAAGAATAAGCTTTGGGGACCAGCAATCGGCATACTGGCTATGTCGCTAGACTCCCACGTGGTTGGCCGCAGTTCAGGTCCTGGACTAGGTGGTTAAAACTTTGATCCGGGTGCATGTGCATGCGTGCCCAAGATCTCGAGAAGAGAATGGAGAAGGGACTGCGACGTGGCCATCCCCCCAGGGGGTGATTTCTCGCTCTCTATGTCTTTCTGGCGAGCACACACCCCCTATAGCAAAAAAAAAAAAAAAAAAACCCTCTCCAAAATAATAATAATAAGCTTTGAAGAAAATCCTACATTCAAAATTGGTAACATGAAGGCTGGAACCGACAACGCAAGCTTCCACTTTACCAAAAACCTTATATTTTAATTCCTTTAATTGTCGGGGCCCACTGAATAACTTACAAGAATTCCACTTGGATGCTGGATTCTAGGAGCGGCTGGGGAAAGCACACCGAGGCCAGGAAATGCATGGCTGTCACTTGCTCCAACAGCCGATGTTCATAAACGTGACTGCGGCCGGGGGCCTGCCCAGTCACTCTGGGTATCACAAGCACTCTAAGCGCCCCACCGCCGCAGGGCCTCTAACGCAGCTGCTCCAGTCCTCGGTCGGAGGCCATAACCCAGGCCCTGGGAGAGGAGAGCGCGCGGCGGTGGGCGGCGAGGCCCGGGCCCTGGGACGTGGCAGCCTCCCGCACACAGGCTGACCTTGGCCGCAAGGGCTCTGGGCGGCAGCTGTCTTAGGACCTGGGGCCGGACCCAAGGTTACACGTGACAGCAACTCCAGGCAGCGGGCCCCTCACTGTGCCCCGCTCTGCCCTCCGAGCGGGCGGTCGCCTTAACCGGTTTCTCAGAGGGGAAACTGAGGCTCAGAGAACCGGGTTTGCTGCCGCCTGGGGACCGGCGCGCTCCGCCCCGCTTTGGCCTCTATCCGGACCCTGGGGCCCCGCGGTCCCCATCCAGGTCCGGCCGCGGGCCTCCCGGGGACGCGCACGTGGAGCCCAGGCCGGCACGAGCGCACGCGCCCGGGTCACATGACGCGAGGGGCCTCAGGGCGCCGAGGCAGTTGGGGGTCGGGGCCTCACCCCTCCCGCCGGTCGCCTCCCGTCACCTCGCGCTACTCACCCCGGGCGGGGACTCCCGGGACCTGAGAGAAGAGATCAGGGACGAGGAAGGGAAGGCGGCGGCGGCGCCCGCTGCGAAAACCCCACGGGCCAAGGAAGCTCCTCCAGATCACCGCCAGGCTCTACAGCTCCCGGCGCGCGCTGCCTTTGTCCGCCTACGTCACTTCCGGACGTTCGGGGGCGGGGTCTCCCGTGGCTCCGCCCTGTTGTCGCTAGCCCCTCCCCTCCCGGAGCTTACCCGAGCTAAAGACAGTCGCGGTGCCGACCTCTGGCTCCCTCAAGCCCTGCTCTGGCCCATTAGGAGGCTGTAGCCTGGAGTTTTATTTATTTATTTCTTTTTCTTTTTCTTTTCTTTTCTTTTCTTTTTTTTTTTGAGAGGTTTTTGCTATAGGGTGCGTGCGCTCGCAAGAAATACAGAGAGAGGCAGAGACAGAAAGCAAGAAATCACCCCCCATAGGAGATGGCCCACCGCAATCCCTTCTCCTCCATTCTCCTCTGGGGATCTTGAGCACGTGCGCACACGCGCCTGGCATAAGTTTAAGCCACTTGGTCCGGAATTCGAACTGTGGTCGACTACTGTGGGAGTCCAGAGATAGTCATTACACCAACTGCTGGTCCCTAGGCTGGGATTTTTTTTTTTTTTTGAAAGGTTTTTCACTATAGGGCGCGTGCGCTTGCCAGACAGACAGAGAGACAGAAAGCGAGAAATCACCCCCAGGGGGGATGGTCACACCGCAATCCCTTCTCCTCCATTCTCCTCTCGGGATCTTGGGCACGCACACACACGCGCCTGGCGTGAGTTTTAAGTCACCGGGTCCGGGACGCGAACCACGGTCGACTACGTGGGAGTCCAGCGACATAGCCATTACGCTAACTGCTGGTTCCCCCTGGCTGGAATTTTAAAAATGAATGTTCTGTGGGTTTTTCACTGGGAAAAAGAGGGGAAAGTCAGTGTTTCTAAAATCCAACCATCTCCTTGAGCATCTTGTTTTTTTAAACAGTGATTGGTTGATTTGTTATTAATCAAGCCGCCCAGTCCAGACTCTAACCTCAGTTGGCCATGTAGGAATCCAGCGTCTTAACCACCATGCTACTTGCTAGCCCAAGCATCTTTAAATAATATACCAGCCCAAAAAATAAAAAATAAAATTTAAAAAAAAAAGGAAAAGAAATGGTAATGCTAACAAGCTGTCGGCCCAAATAAAGAAGAGAAAGTCCTGGATATTTCCACTCCCAAAGGCTGCCCTTCCCCCATTCATAAATTTCTGGGCCAGCAGGTAGCCTAACAGTTAAAGCGCTGAGTCCCACATGGCCCTCTCCCTGGCTTGAGACCTGAACCCAGCAGCTTGAAAAACGCACCAGGGGTGTGTGTGCATGTCCAAAATGCTGGGAGAAGAATGGAGCAGTGATTGTGGCATGGCTGCCCCTGCTGGGGAGTGACTTCTCACTTTCCCTAGTCTCTCTCTTTTTGATAAGCACATGCACCCTGCTGCAAAAGTCAAAACAAAATAAAATAAAAGATACAAAGCTCAAATGCAGGAGCCTGGTGATGGCACAGCAGGGAAATGAGACACTCTGGGAGGCTCGCCCCTAAGGAAGGTTTAGCCTTTGCATGGAGAGAACACCAAGCAGGTACATGCCCATGATCCCAGACTGTCTGAGGCTGGGGTAGACTGTGGTGCCAGGACCCTGCTGGGGGGGTGTCTGTCTCTCTCTCTCATGGAAGAAACAAAAAGCCCTAACATACCCTTTAAATATTAACATTTCTACCTCCTCGGGAACCAGCAGTTAGCATAATGGCTATGTCACTGGACTCCCACGTAGTCGACCGTGGTTCGCGTCCCGGACCCGATGGCTTAAAACTCACGCTGGGCACGTGTGCATACGTGTCCAAGATCCCGAGAGGAGAATGGAGGAGAAGGGATTCCTGCGTGACCATCTCCCCTGGGGGGGTGATTTCTCGCTTTCTGTCTCTATGTCTCTCTCTGTCTGTCTGGCGAGCGCACACGCCCTATAGCAAAAACCTCTAAAAAAAAAAAAAAGAAAGAAAGAAAGAAAAAAAGAAAAGAAAAAAACATTTCTACCTCCTTCACTCAACATTCTAACTTCCCAGCAAAGTATGTCCCTTCATGCCCAATAGAGGAGCATTTGTGGAAAATGGATACGTCTTTTGTCGACCCCTCCTCCAGGAAGATGTCTGGGATCTGAATTGCAAAGTCATATTTTTCATTTTTTGGAGAGGTTTTGGCCATCGGGTATGTGCGCTCACCAGGAAGACAGAGAGAGACAGAAAGTGAAAAATCACCCCATGCCGCAATCCCTTCTCCTCCATTCTCTTGGGAGCTTGGGGACGTAGGCACACGTGCCCAGCGTGAGTTTAAGCCACCCAGTCCGGGACTCAAACCGCAGTCGACCTCACGGGAGTCCAGCAACATAGCCACGACGCCAACTGCTGGTCCCATATTTTTCATTTTTAAAGTATAAAAGGCCAAGCCAGTGAGATAGTTGTCTAAACTGCCCTTGTCCCACCCCTACCTGAATTCCACACCACTCTGAGCTTTCTCCCTGCCTTCTCCCAGCAGAGATCACAGGTCAGTGCTTGTCAGCCCCTTTTACCGAGGAGCCCTGAGAAGGGTGACAGTCACCCTGCTTCACGCAGAGTGTGACGTGAAATGCGGTCTCTGGGCCAGCCTGTGGCCTGGTGGTGAGGTGGCTCGATCCCACATGGGGAAGGTTCAAGCCTCGGACCTCACGACTTGGGGAACACCATGGCCGTGTGTGCGTGTCTGAAATCTTGAAAGGAAGGAGAAATGAAGAAGAGATTGTGTATGACCATGTCCCGTGAAAGGTGCTTTCATTTTTTAAAAGAATTATTTTATTTAACATCATTTATTATTTTTATTATTAGTTCATTTAACCAGAGAGAGAGAGGGGAAGTGAGAAAGCATGCTGCCAGGTCTGGGACTCAAACCACGGTCAGCCATGTGGAGTCCAGTTCCTTTAACCACCCGCTGGCCCAGGGGTGCTTTTCTTTCTTTCTTTTAAGAATTATTTTATTTAACTTCACTTATCCATTCATTTATTTATTTAATTTGACCAGAAAAGGACAGACCGAACGAGTGAGAAAGGTAGAAAGTGAGACAGCAAGCTGCCAGATCCAGGAGGGGAGTCCAGCGCCCTTAGCCACCATACCACCTGCCAGCACCCAGGGGTACTTTCTTGGCAGCCCCCACACATACACGCCTGCCAGCACACATGCCTTCTGGCAAATTTCTAAAAAGGAAAGAAAGAAACTGGGGCTGTCAGGGTCACCCAGAAGAGCAGCTTGGGTCTGGGAGGTGTGACCAAACCCGGATGATTGAGTTCACCCCAACCACTGCCTGGTACAGGACTCAGTGTTCGCTGGGGCTGCAGCAGTGACATACAGGGCATAAGAGCCCTGCCCTCCACCTTCCAGGCCTCAGTGCCATTGCCTCCCAGGTGACCATGGGTGAGGGGCGGATCACAATGACCTTGGCAAGGCCCTGGAGGCAGCAGGGAGGGGCTGGCAGAGGGACCAGGTGGGGAAGATGCGCCCTCCCAAGGACTAGCCCACCTTGTGGGGGCTCTTAACTCACAGGCCTTCTCTGGCCCCACCCGGAAGCCCCAGCAGGGTGAGTATGAGGCCACCTGGAAGCCAGCTCAGCGGTGACAATCTGGGTGTGGGATGTGGGGGGAGGTAGTGAGCTTGGAGACCCCCAGCATGGGGCTCGGCCTCCCCAAATGGGGGTAGGATCGTGAAAAACACCTGTCTTGACTCCAGCCCAGACCTACTGAATCGGAACCTGGGGTGGGGGGTGGGGGGCTCTGTGGTTCCAGGCCCCCACCTCCCAGGAGAGCGCTAATCATAGTAACAATTTCAACAGTCCACACCCGCCGAGGGGTCCCAGGAGGCAGGTGCGCCTCTACCCGATTCCGATTCCGCAGGCCAGAGATGAGAGCGCGGAGAGGGGCTGAGAAGTTTAACTGGCTTGTCCAAGGTTACAAAGCAACTGGGAGCGGGGCTGAGGCTAAATCCTAAATAATAATCACTTTAAGCAGTAAGAACGGCAGCCTGTCGTTGAGCGTGTCCGACGTGCCTGGCGCTATATTCTAAGCGATTGACATGTCTTGCGCATTTAAACGTCACAGCAAGACCGAAAGCCTGCGGACGCCTGCCGTCACCATTTTCCAGGTGAGGAAACAGAGGCTCCGCGGGCTGCAGCCCGAAGCCACTCGCAGCCTGCCGAGCCGAGCCGAGCCGAGCCGAGCCCGAGGCGTTCACCCCCAAAC